TTCCGGGTTCGCCGACCAACCGGTTCGCAGGGACCGCCGCGAACCGGTTGAAACCCCCCCCTGTGCAGGAGGCAGCGAGCGTGGTCACCTCATGGCTGCTGCTGTGTTGCAATATTTTCAGGGAGGGCTTATTTTTGAGGGCGGGCTTATTTTAGCGCATGCACTCAAAAGCCCGATTGGGCTTATTATCAGGGGAGGTCTTATTTTCAGGGAAACGAGGTAGACAAGCTGTAGGAGAAGTGACACAAAACATTAATTCATTGAGAATTGTAAAAAAAAACAAAAACACCTATCTGACGAAGGAGCTTGCTGGCACAACACAAATTTACCTGAGTTATATTTGTGGCAGAGATGGGTTCCTACCAGTTCGCACCTATTCGGTAGAACCGGTTCATCAAATCTACCCAACCGGTTAGAAGAGGTTCCACCAGTGGACCCGGAAAGCAGGTCACACCTACAGAAGAGGTCCCAAAATTGTTTGAAACCCACCACTGATTTGCGGCCATTGCTGTTCGCTGCCCAGACTCTGTAAGCAGCCATGTGGATTTTAGAAACAACTAAATAAGCATCAAAAGAGCAGAAGTTTGGATTCTTATTTTCGGGAAGAGTGGCTGAATTGTATTTTGTGGCAGCTATCAATTCAACAGATGAAGCTCTGGCGGATCTAAGGGAAAGCTTTGGATGCCTTCGTTCTGGCAGGCTGCTAACCTCTGTTGAAAAGTCTTTTCAAACTGAGAAGGGTCTTAAACACCATGGAGCTGCATTCTTCTGAGTCAATATGCAGAAGGAAGGCCTTCTTCATACTGATATATTAAAGACAAGTGTTGCCCTTTGCAGTAGGGTGTGCAATGAACTGTTCAAGGTGCATTTTCAGGCTGGTTAATTGGTTAACTGATTGCAAAACGTCAACCAGAAATACCAGGATTGTCCTTTGGAAGAGGGTGGGAAGCTGTAGGTTAAACCCAATATTTGCAAATGCAATACTTTAAATATCGGCTTGGGAGGAATTTCCGTTTGTAGTGCTCATTTAGCCAGCAAGAGAATTTAACTCTTGGCTCATCTCTTTCCCTTCATTCTTTTAAAAAAGACACTCCAAGGAACTGCAGGACATACGAACAAATCTTTTAAACCTTTCATTTTTATTTATCGATTCCATTCTTATTAGCCACGAAGAGTGGTTTCTTAATGCTCCTAAACTGCCCTATACAGGTAGTCCTCAACTTATGACCACAAAGCACAAACATTATGTTGTTAAGTGAGACGGTTGTTAAGTGAGTTTTGCCCCAATTTTACGATCTTTTCTTGAGCGAATCACTGAAGTTAGTAATAAGATAGTTAAGTGAATCTGGTTTCCCCATTGATTTTTGCTTGGCAAAAGCTCGCAAAAGGTGATCATATAACCCCAGGACACAGCAACTATCAAAAAATATGAGTTGCCAAGTACCTTAATTTTTTTATTATATATTTCTATTCTTTTTCTTTAAAAAAAACCACATACAAAACAAGAGCAAGAAAAAAAACCTTTCCTCCATTTCATCAAGCATGTCGTTTGGTTACAAGTTTTTGTGCATTGATTCTTAAGGTTAAGAATAATATCGCTGGTTTTGCATTAAACATAACTGAATATTTCGCTGTCGTTGAGCATAATGTGTTCAAATTACCATTAATATTCTTTCATTTGTAACAATCCTTACGAATGTATATTACAAATTAATGGGAATTCTTTGATCCAATTTCCGCTTTTTCTCCTTGGAGATAGGTGGTATTATTATACTTTAAAGACTTATTGTTACTTGATAGATAATTATGAATTCAAGGAACCAAGCACCTTAATTTTGACCACAGGATTATGGTGATTCTACAAACGGTTTTGCAGCTTATGAAAAAAGGTCATAATCACTTTCAGTGCTGTTGTAACATGGAATGGTCGCTGAATGAACTATTATAAGTGGTTGACTACCTGTAAAAGACAAAACACACATACACACACACACAAACAGAACAGTTGCCTAGGACAGTTATGTATGAATCTAATTTTTACACTGTTAACCACATGTGGAACTTTTCTTGGCAGTACTGCGGAGACCAACGTTAGATTTCCTCTGTTCCTCTGAAGCTACTTCAGGCCTCTTCAGAAATCAACTTTCTGAAATCAATGCGTAAATGATTATCAAGCCATTACTTCGGTTGTGCTACAGTATATTTTTTTTTGGGGGGGGGGGTCATTGGTTTGGAGCTTTTGAGTCAGTGCTGACTCATGAAAATTGCATGGATTAATCCTTGCAACTTCCTTGGCAAGATTTTCACAAGTGGCTTACTTACTCTTGTCTCCTTCCTACTCTGTTTCCCCGAAAATAAAACCTCCCCGGATAATAAGCCCAATCGAGCTTTTGAGTGCATGTGCTAAAATAAGCCTTTCCCAAAAAAATAACCCCTCCCCGAAAATAAGGCTAAATGTTTATTTCAGGAGTCAAAAGAAAATAATACCCTGTCTTATTTTGGGGAAAACACGGTAGTGCTGAGAGAAATTGACTGGCCCATGGTCACCCAGATGGATTTATGCCTAAACCCGAACTNCCGGTTCGGTAGATTTGATGAACCGGTTCTACCGAATAGGTGCGAACTGGTAGGAACCCACCTCTGGAACAAGCAGGGTGAACTAGATCCTAATACACAAGGGAATGTATAATATACAGGAGTTGCCTAAACTTCAGAAAGACCTGAGGACACAGCATCGTTTATTTATCGGTTGACTATCATTCTGGCCTTCATTTCAAGGAAGCAAGCCTTGTGTTATTTTATTCACATCACAACAGTTTGAGGCGGATTAAGCAGATAATTCGTGATTAGTCTGCTTCAAATTGATATGTCAATCTGGTTATGAAACAGATTATGCTGAGCATCGAGTCTAAGGTTTTAACGTCTTTTCGTAGGGAGACGAGAATTATATTGGCCCGGCTTTATTAAATCTGCATACACCCATCTACACATGACTAAGGACATGGGTGTGCAAAAAAATGGAGATATAGGCTCATGAAATATACATGTAGTAGGTACAACGTGTGAGCGTGTAAGCCTCTTTCTCTCTCCTCTCACTGCTACTGAGAATTAAAAGCAAATGCATCTCATCGTTGAGATCCAGCCTACAAAAATGCCTGCAGGGAATAAATCTGAATATCATTTAAGAAGCCATGAAGCTCATTTTCTAAGAATTATCCTCTTGAAATCTGAGAAGGCTCCAACTGAGCATGAGGAAGGTTGAGAGAGAGAGAGAGAGAGAGAAAGATTGGATTTCAAATTTTGCTGGGCCCCTGAGACAAAAGTGCCTGACTTGTTCAGGAGCAGGCATTGTGCAAATTCACTGAGCAACGTGGCAGACACCGTCATAAAGTTCTCAGCCAAGAATTTTCAGCTGGACGCAAAATTTGGAGGTTAGTAAAGAAATCTAGGCTGAATTAAGAAGCTAGTTTACCACTTTCGCTGTACTTTGCCTGATTTTAAAATCCAAACTGCATGTGGAAGTAAGGCAAATGCTATAGTCTCAGCTTAAACCCTCATTTTTTTATATTTTATAATGCTGGCAATATTGGTTAGAGAAAGTGGGACATGGATTTCAGAGAGCAGGAAAGAAGAGAGAGAGAGAGGGAGAGAGAGGGGGGCAGATCTGAAAGGCATTAACGCTTTATTTTCTTAGTATCTGAACATTGGTTGGGAGGAGGAAGAGGAAATGGCTGTGTGAAATACATTTGGCAAGCTATTTTTGCATTTTTTTAAATAAAAGAATTCTACTACTGTCTTTCATTTGACCCCAAAATAAGCACTTGGCCTTATTTTCGGGGAAGTCTTATTATTTTTGAGGTACAGGAGCAGGGGTGGGTTTCTCGCCCCGTTCCAACCGGTTCGGTTGGAACGGGGCCAGCAGCGTCCTGGTGCACGCGTGCGGTGCACACATGCGTACTAGCGTCTGTGCGATGCTCCAGCTGCTCCTGGAGGATCGCGCAGGCGCTGTATGCGTCCTGCGCATGCGTGGAAGCGCAGAACTCGTCAAAACCGGGTAAGGACCGCGGGCGGGCGGGCACGCGCGCCGTTCGCCGTTCCCGGAAGTTACTTACTTCCAGGTTCGCCGACCAACCGGTTCGCAGGGCCCGCCGCGAACCGGTTGAAACCCACCCCTGATTCTACGGGTGTTTATTCAAATCCCCTAAACAGGTCTAAAAGAATGCAAATGACCATCTGTCTGCAAGGAGTATAAATCTTTCCA